GGTCGTGAGTTCGATTCCTGATACTGGAAAAAAACCAAAAATAAATAAATACATAAAGCAAATCTGCAGTACAAAACTCCAGCCCCCGCCCCGCGGGAGGCGTCCGTCCCCCAGGGTTCGGCCCCTGCTGCGTGCCCGCCCGTTCATTGTCCTCTGAAACCATGTCCAGGCTACAGCCACGCTGACCGTGCCGGGCCTGTGCCCTGGCTGTGACGGCGGGGACGTGAAGGGGCTATGAGGGTACATGTGGCCACCCAGAGTGCAGGGGTCACTCAGTGCCGTCCCTGAACGAGGCCCAGGGATGCGCTGAGGTCACTGTTCATAGTGTCCATACTGTGGGAACTGCGGGAGACACTAACGTGCTCAGGGAGAGGAGAGCTATTGGGTACACAGGACCTATTTTTTTTTTCTTTTACAACTTCCTGTGAATATCATTACTTCAAATATAAAAACGTTAAAATAAAATAGGCCAGGTTTCTCATAGCTTTCTCTTTTTATGAGAACATTATTTATTATTGTTGTTGTTGTTGTTGTTGTTGTCGTCGTTATATGTGACTTTTTTGGTGCTGGTGGTGGTGGTGGTACAGGAGATTGATCTCGGCACCTTCACGCTGAGCTACATCCACAACCCTTTTTAGTTTTTTAAGACAGGGTTTTGCTAAGTCACTGAGGTACCCAGACTGGGCTCAGACTTTCCATCCTCCTGCCTCAGCCTCCCAGGCCCCCATGCCTTGTTTCTCACATATATATAATATTATATATACATACATGTTCTAACCCTTCTTATATATATGTTCACATATATATAATATATATATACATGTTCTAATCCTTCATACATATGTTCACATATATATATTATATATATACATGTATATATTATATATATATACATGTTCTAACCCTTCTTCCTTCTTCAGTTCAACTCATTCATCATTGTTCAGCAGAAAGAACACAGTCATTAAATGTTTGCTGAACGGGCAAACAAACAATCCCTATTATCTCTGTGCTAAAGAGTCTGTTGAATTAATACACCAACATAATGTAGCCATGGAAAGCATGCATCTAAATAAAATAAATATAAAATAAATATAAAAGCACGCATCTAGGAAGGAGGAAGGGCTGGGCATGGTCATGTAAATCTGTAATCCCAGCACTAAAGAGGCTGAGGCAGGAGGATTGCCTCAAAGCCAGCCTGAGCTACCTAGTGAGTTCAAACCCAGGTTGAACTACATAGCAAGACTCTGCATCAACCAACACACAAACACACACACACATACACACAAATAGGTGTGCACCTAGTGCTCAAAGTGTACCAAGGTGGGCGATGTGCAAGGCCCTGGGTTCTATCACAGCACTGAGAGTTCACTCAGGTAGCCTGACTTCTAGGTACATTTTTTTTTCTTTTGTGGTGCAAGGGATGGGACCCAGGGCCTCACACATCTGAGGCAAGTGCTTCACTCCCAGCCCTCAGATCTCAGTCCTGAGCCCCCGCCCCCACCCCACGTTCCCGAGCTTCTCCGAGCTTAGTTTCCTCCCAAGTAGGAGCAGGACCAATAGCGTGGGGTTGCTGCGATGATCCAGTGAGTTAATGCACACAAAGTGCTTAAAGCATTGCCTGGACCAAAAGTAAGCTCTCAAAATAGGGCTTTTGTAATCTCTGGGATCCCCTTATGACCTCTCCCCAGTCACATCCCTCCCCTTCGCCCTCCCCAGCTGCACCCCAAACATCCTGTGTTTCCCCCAATCCCTGCCAGCATCATCGTATCATCCTGTGTCCTGGTTGGCTACTGCTAGGTCGCAAAGCATCCAAGACTAAGGCTGAAAACGGTGATTCTGGCTGGGACAGCAGCTCCATGTAGAGCACACGCCTAGCGAGCCCAAGGCCCAAGGTCCATCCCCAGCTCCTCGAGTTCGAAGCCAGCCTGAACTACATAGCAAGACCCTGTCTCAAAAAAGCAAAAGAAAAACAAATACAAATCAACCAAACCAGGGCCCATGACACAACTACCTCCACGACTGCTCTACCACAGGCCAGCCACTGCCCACAGCCCTACTGCAAGCAATTCAGCCCCGCCCCTGTGCCCTAAGCCCGGTGACCTTCCTCCTGCCAGCCAGAGTGAGACCTGCTCGCTCCGCCCTGCCCTGCCTGTCTGGGAAGCTACATGAAGGCGTCCCATCTGCCGCTTCCCCCTGACTGACCCAGGTGCTTGCCTGGGTGGCTCCCACGGCACCGTGGGCTCCTCGTCTTGGCTCGGTAGCACCCCACCTTCTCAACAGCAGTTGTCTCCTCCTCTGTTCCCCTGACTATGCCCCAAGTGTCCTACTAACACATGATATTTTAGAACGGTTACCATGGCCGTCTCAAGGAAATACGATCTTCTGCACTCGGACACTCACTGCCCCCTCTCTTCCCTTTTCTTCAATGTGACTGTGGGCTTGCGGAAGACACAGACCTCCCTCCCTCCCGTGCTGAGTACATAAAAGATACTTCACGTTTGCTGACTGACTGGCTGGCTGCATTTCTTCTAGCCATATTACAACCTTTGTCTTCATTAGTAGGCATCCAAAAAGAAGGGACCCTTCGCAAAATCCCCAACAGACCCTGCCAGTACCTGCCCGCTCAGCCAGCCCTCTCTCTCTACTCCGTCATGGTGAGGCACACAACACACAGCCTGTGTCACCACCGCTGCGTGAGCTTCCTGGGACAGCACAAGCCACTGGTCCCAGGGGTCCGGCAGGTGGAGGAAGGTTGGGAATCCTGAGGTTAGTCCCACCCTCAGAAGGCTGATTTGGGGTTCAGAGTTTTAGAGAAGCTGTTCCCTAAAATTTTCCATAGGACCTGGCCATGGTGGGGTGCCTGCAATTGTAGCATTCTGGGAGTCTCAGGGCAGAAGATCCCAACTTCAAGTTTAGTCTGAGCAACTTAGAGACTTAGCAAGGCCCTGCCTTGAAATAAAACATTAAAAAAAAAGACAGGGAATGTATTCAGGGTAAAGGCCCAGGGTTCAAGCCCCAGTGTCCAAAAGCAAGGAAGGAAAGAGAGAGGGAGAAAGAGAGAGAGAGGAAGGAAGGAAGGAAGGAAGCAAGGGAAGGAAGGAAGAAAAGAGATCCTCCATAGTTGTGCATGCAAACACCTGAGATGTCCCCAGGCAGGTCGCTCAAAATTTATAAGGGACACAGCCTCAGTGCTGAAATCTTAAGTCCCCAAAGACAAGAGAGACAGACCGTCAACTGCCCCATCTCACCAGGCCTAGAGCCTGAGAGGCTCTGCACAGCTCCAGGGCTTGATTCTCCCTAGCAAAGGAGCTCTAGAAAGGGAAAGCAGAGGGCACAGCTCCCAGCTGCAGGCTCCTCCTGCGACAGCAGAGGCTCCCAAAGCACCAACACCCTCTTCTTCCTGGAGCCCGGATGTGGGAGTGGAGGGAGGACTTCCCCACGCGCCTCCCCCGCCACCCCTCCTCCTCAGTGTCCCTGCTGGACTCCATCTGACAGTGATCAAGGTCGACGTTTACTCCCTTCCCACAGCTGTGATTTAAAATGCAAATACCCCTGGGAGAAAACAAATTGGTTTAGGGTCAGGCAGTGCTTGTTCTGCTCCACACGTAACCCTTCTCTGAGAACAGGTTTGGTGAGGTAGGGGAGGAAGCAGAGAAGCCTAGAGGCAGCTACCAGGGCCAAGGGCTGGAGCTCCACTTCCTCCCAGCATGGCCAAGACTTCTCTCTCGATCGCTGTCAGAGTTAGCGCAGCTGTCTCGAGAGTGATTCTAGCCCACACCTGTGCAGCCCTCAGCCCCCAGTCCAGTCCATCCAACCACCCCGAGTCCACTGCATCTCAGTGTTCAAAGCGCTCTACAGGAGAACAAAACAAATCAACAACAAATATCTATATCATTCCTACAAAGAAAATAAGACTTTTCTCAGCCAACTTCCAAATTTTAAATCCAACTATTATTCACGAGAGCCAAAAAGTAGGAGCAACCAGAAGTCTAAAGAGAGAATAGGTAAGCAAGCTGTGGTCCATGCGTAGAGTGGAATACTACCATTCAGCCTTAAAAAGGAACCGCGGCCTGTGACTAGAATCCCATCACTCTGGGAAACTGCTGCAGGAGATCACAAATTCAAACCTAGCCTGGGCAACTTAGCAAAACCCTGACTCTAAACAAAAAATAAAAAGGGCTGGGGATATAACTCAGTATAAAGGCCCTGAGTTCAAGTGCCAGTACTATTGAGAGTAAAATAAAAATTAAAAAATAAAAAAAAATTGGAAATCCTGCCATGTGCTGTAAGAAGAATGAACCTTCAGGACATTATACTAAATGAAATAAGCCAGACACAAATACTTCATGATTCTACTTCTATGAAGTACTAGCGTAGTCCAATCCATGGAGACAGAAAGTAGAGCAGTGGTTTCCAGAGGCCAGGAGTAACAGAAAAAAGGGAGTCATTATTTAATGGGTACCAAGTTTCAGTTGACCAAGATGAAAAAATCCAGCAAACAGACAGTGATGCTAGTTGCACAATGTTGTAGATGTATTTAATGCCACACATTGGATATTTGTGAGGGGCTGCAGATACAGTTCAGTGGAAGAGCACTTGCATAGTATTAGGCCCTGGGTTTGATGTCAAGCACCAAAAAAAAAAAAGGTTATCCTCTTTTGTTATTTTGCAGTACTCAGGATTAAACCCAGGGCCTTATGCATGCTAGGCAAATACTCTGCCACTAAGCTACCTCCCAGCCCTACAACACTAACTTTTTTTTTTTAATCGTTTTGAAACAGTTTCACTGTGCAGTTCAGGCTGACTTTGAACTCACTTTGTAGCCCAGGCTGGCCTCAAAGTCACAATGATCCTCCTGCTTCAGCCTTCCAAGTACTGGGATTGCAGGTGTGCACCACCACACCCACTTATAACTTTCTTGTGTGTTTTACTATAATTTTTAAAAATATATATAATGGTCTCAGAGGCTATTATTTGTCTTTTCTGTCTCCTTACCCAAGCCTGTTACTGAATGATCACACACCCCGAGGGACAGGAAGAGCCAAGTCCAAGAGCAAAGGATTGTGGGAAGGCAAAGCATCTATAATCACTGTAGGCCAGCACTTCCACCAAATGAAGGGCTCGGTCTGTCGCCAAACACACCTGGTCCGGCCTCCTTCTGTGACATCACACTCCAACAGCTTCTTGCCTACAAGCTCAAATTCTAAATCCTTAAGCCAGAATTTAAGACGCCCTCATCTGCCCCAGTCCAATTTTCCTACTGCTCTCTCTCCACCCACCCCTGCAACTGTTCTGACTGCCCAGCCAGTTTGCTGTCCTCCAAAGACACCTTGCAGTCACGCTCTCCTGCGTCTGCTGCCCACCTCCCCAAGTCCAATCAGCCCCGTCCCCAGTGGTCCCACCTAAAGTCAGTGCTATTCATGGTGACTCATGTCCTTCCTTTCTGCTGTCTCCTTGCCTTTGCCCTTTGCTTCAGTCTCTATTTCTTGGTTACACAATAGATTTACGGATGGTGTTGATTCTGAAGATTAAAGCGCTATGGAACTGTTAAGAGGTTATTTTGCTGGGCCCCCTTAATTTGCAATGACAAAATCAGACTTGCACAATCACTTGGCCAGATCCCAGCAGAGGAAGGAATCGAATCCATGTCCTGATTTCTACTCTAGTCTCTTTCAGTAACACCAGTTTTTCTGTTTAGCTATGGTACGTGTGAGCCTTGCTGTCCCCAAAAGATTAGGAGCTGTCGCCAGGCATGGTGGTGCACGTCTGTAATCCCAGCACTCAGGAGGCTAAGGCAGGAGGATTGTTTCGAGTTCGAGGCCAGCCTGGGCTACAAAGTGAGCTCAAGGGCAGCCTGAACTGCATAGTGAAACCTGTCTCAAAAAGACAAAAGAAAAAAAAGATTAGGAGCTGTCTTAGGGTAGGAAATGACCACATTACATGTCATTTGTGCCTCCCCACATCCAATATCATCTTCATTAATCTATGTTGAAACCATAAATGTGTGTATCCTTACTTTCTTTCAACAATCTCTTAAGAAAAATATTTTTTGGCCAAGTGTACCAGGGCACACTTGTAATCCCAGCTAAGAAGGCTGGGGCAGGAGGATCACAAGTTCCACCCTAGCCTGGTAACTTAGTAAAACCTCATCTCAAAATTTAAAACTTCCAATACTGTGAAAATTTCCAATACTTTGGGGCTGGGAGCATAGCTCAGTGGTAGAGCTTTTGCCTACCATGTACAAGGCCCTGGGTTTGATCCCCAGCACTAGGGGAAAAAAAAAATAAAATAATTTCTCCTCTTAGATTCAAAATAGCTTCCTTGTGAGTGAGTTTTCTAAGAGTGCTCAGGCAAACCAAAACAAACAGAGGTAGATAATACACTTGAAGAAACTTGGCCAATTTTTGAAACCTCAGAAGCATGCTCTATTTACTTCTTGGACCTAATTGCAGTCCCACCATAAACTGAACCAGGCACACTTGCTCTAATTTTATCTCAACTTTGCAGGCAGATTGTAACCCAAGGTTGGTTTAGTTCATCTATTTCCTACTCCATTAATCCATTGCTTTGCTGTCTCAGCCGTGTGGGCATTCTTTCGGTTGGAACACACATAGGCAGCTTCCTCCTCCTCGTAGCTCTTTTTGAAAAAAAGAAAGAAAGTGGAGAAAAGAAAAGAAAGCAAACACCACACACACACACACACACACACACACACACACACACACACACACCCGTGCAGGCTGAGCCCCCTGGGTAGTCCCACACCGTCTAATTAGTAAGGTTATTTTGCAAATGACCTAGTACCCAAAGCACAACACAGCTCTCTCCACACAGGCTCACCTTTTTGGGAATCTGTTCCCTTCTTGGCCTGATGGATTGTGTCAGGGGCAGGATCTGACTTTTGTCATTGCAGACACACACACACACACACACACACACACACAAACCAGAGGAAATGGCTGCAGTGAAGGCAGCCTCCTACAGGCCATCAGCATAGGGGTGTAAAAGAGAGAAAGAGAGAGGAAAACTATGGAAAGTTCTGAACGCTGAAAAACTTGCAAGGTAAAATGAGGGAGACAGAACTCAGATCCATAATTACAGAAGCTGTGTGCAAGATTTAATTAAAACTTGGGTGGAAAGGAACACCCAGAAACAAGTGTCATTCATCAACTTAAAACACCAACTAAGGTAAACACTGCCACCAAGTCAGGGAAAGAAGGGAGGAGAAAAGAAAGAGGGGTGATCACTCTAGATATCAAGCAAATCAAATTACCCTGAAAGCCCTGGCAGACACACGCATTAATCATCGGTTATCCCAGCCGCACACCTGTACGGAGAGGGGAGCCTGGCGTGCAAGAGTGAGCCAGCTGACAGCGGGCAGGACAGGGACGCAGGCCAAGGGGAGCCCAGCCTAGTCGTGGCCACGTGGCAGCCTCCTCTGTCCCAGGCCAGGTGGGAAAAGGAGGGGCAGAGCGGGGCTCCTGCAGGGCCCTGCCGTTCTGCTACTGCAGCCAAGGTACTTCCTGCCGCTCCTTGCCAGCCTGCGATGCTGGACAAACCTGCTGATCCACAGGTGGAGCAACTTTCCCGGGAGAGGGGACCCTTCTGGGTGAACCAGAGGCAGGTCCCGGGATCCAGTCACCAGTGGGCAGACAGGTTGGGCTTCCACAGCCAGTGTTCGTCTGGTTTTCTGCTCTCATGAGATTCTGAGTTTAAGGCAAGGGAGCTGGGGTGGCGTGGGGACAAAAGGAGCCCCCAAGTTCGCTTCCTGTGCTGCGCAGGCTTCCTACACCCACGGGTCCCCAGGGCTGGTCACACGGGGAAGCCTCCTGACTCCGCTCATAGGAGGCTGGAGAGCGGCTCGGCCAGCCGGGCTGGGAGCTATTTGCACTTGATGAGCAATTTCAAGTGGGAGCCATGTGAGTGTGTGCTGCATGAGCGCCAGTGTGCATTTAGAAGGAACAAATGATTTATTATCTGGGGCCTCCACAAAGTCTTGTTCAGAAAGAGAAGGAACGTCTTCTCTTCCCCTACCCCCTTATCATTAAAACCTTAAAGGGGCAGAATCCATTTGGTCTCCTAAGCCAGCCTAGAAGGGAGTCACAGCTAATCAAGCAGCCGGCCCAGCTCCTCCAGCCCGGCTTTGAGTACAACAATATGTATGAACTAGCAAAATGGCCTGCAGACCACTTTGATGTTACACAAAGGGGGAAAAAAATCCCAAATGGTGAAAAAATTGTATCTCTGCTTAACTCTTCCATGTCTGTCCTACAGGATAAATGTAAGACTCCTACTCCAGGAAGAACTAAATAGTGAATGATTATCACCTCAGACACTTAGACCCAAGTACAGGGCAGTGGCCAGTCTGATCTGCTGAATGACTTGCTCTGATTGAGCATGGTCTCGCTAAAACAAACAAACAAAAACCTGTCTCTTGGGGGCTCAGGATTTAGCTCAGCGGTACAGCGCTTGTCTGGCAAGCACAAGGTCATGAGTTTGATTCCTAGTACCGGAGAAAAACCAAAACCAAAAAAAAAGAAAAAAAAAACCTGTGCCTTGAGTAGCTGTAGAAGTGATGCTATGAGAAGGGCTCGCATGTACCATCTCACTTAATTCTAGCAAGAACACTTGAAGACCCCTGTTATTACTATACCTCAAAGATGAAGTACAGAGACCAGCCTGTCATGGGGCTCTAGACTTGGGTCTCTAAGATTCCAAAGCTTACCCTGGAACACAAAGCTCTGATTGTTTCCATTTTCTTTTCTTTCTTTTTTTTTTTTTTTTCTATTGAGATGAAATTTTACTAAGTTGCCCAGCCTGGCCTCAAACCCTTGATCCTCCTGCCTCAGCCTCCAGAGTACTGGGATTACAAATGTGGTCCACCACACCCAGCTAATTGTTTCCATTTTCATGAATGAGTGCAGCAGGGCCTCCTTTCCTAGGGAATGAGATGTTCTGTCTAAGTAAACATTTCAGATAGTTAAAACCAATCCTTTGAAAGCCAAATCTTTTTAAATTTTTAATTCATTTGAAAGGGAATTCTTTTAATATACATCGCATGGTTCCATGGTTTACAAAAGAGAAACATCTGTGGAAATGTGCAGAGGAATGATTCTGGGCAGGCAGGAATTCCAGCCTCCAGGTCCTCAGAGATGTCAGGAAGGGGTATTCAGTGGGCCAAGACTGCCATTTGCGAGCCGTATGGGCACTGTCCAGGGGCAGCCACAGAGGGCCTTCGAGTGGGTGGTTTGGTAAAACCCACATGGAACAAAAGAAAGCACTAAGAAGATTTTCAGTCACTATGGATTGAAAATATCCATGGATCGAGAAGTTAAAAACAGAGGTTGAGGGTGTGGCTCCTTGGTAGAGCTTGTCCAGCACACGTGAAGCCCTGGGTTCTATCCCTAGCACTAAAAAAAGAAAGAGAACAGAAAAACAGCTTGGCAAGGTAAATAGTGCATATCTGTAATCCTGGTACTGAGGAGGCTGAGACAGGAAGATCAATACAAGTTCAAAGCCAGGCTGGCCTGAGCTATATAGTAAATTCAAGGCTGGGCTGGACTACACAGCAAAACTCTGTCTCAAAAAGAACCAGAAGTAAAAACATTGTAAGATTTTACTTATGTATCATCCCACTTTTCCTTGGTGGGGCTGGGGTCCAGGACATGCTGTGCCACCTTGCTACCTGAGAGCCCAGCAGGAGCAGGAAGACCACGCCCATCTTCCCCTCCTCCTCATTGCTCCCCTGCCCTGCAAGCAGGTCCTAAGACCTTCTTTTTGGTTGTTTTCCTGGTACCAGGAATCGAACTCATGACCTTGTGCTTGCCAGGCAGGTGCTGTGTCGCTGAGCTAAATCCCCAGCCCCTCTAAGACCTTCTCATGAGAGATGCTCCCTGTGCCCACGGGGAAGAAACAGCCTTATCTCTCCAGACGGAGGCACACAGGGATACGGAGAGGAATCCAACCAAACAGGCCTTGCTCCGTTCCCCTCCCTTTATTACCGTCAGATCAGACTCTGTCCAGTCATATTCAACCCCACTTCTCCAACTTGCCCACTCACCATCAGACCTGAGCACAGTAATACACAGGCAGCCCTGTTTCTGCAGGACTTCATGTCACACAGCACTGACATGAAACAAGCGTGTGTGCTTTTCCCTTGTTGATCTATAAGGGAATTGTAATAAAGGCCCCAGCCATGAACCCAGAAAGGGCTAAGAAAAGAGCTTTTCCTTTTTCCCAATCCCTACAATCATAAACAATAACTTCACCTCTCAAGCAAAGTACTTTTTCTTTTGAGACAGGGTCTCACTATGCAGTTCAGGCTGGCCTTGAGTTCACTTTGTAGCCCAGGTTGGTCTCAAGATTGCAACTATTTTCCTGCCTCAGCCTCCTGAGTGCTAGGATTACAGGTGTGTGCCAGCATGCCCAGCTCAAAGCAAATTTTTGAAAAATAAAAATCTATGTGAACCAAAATGTTTATAGTGGTGATAGCTGAGTAATGT